GGGGCTCCTGACCCCTCTTCCCAGACATTCCTTTCTAGTCAGCCTTCTCCTGTGTCTAGAGGTCATGAACAGAGACCTCCAGGGGAAGTCTATTTTGGGCTGAAGGAATCTACCCGACACTACCAGGAAGATCTGTCAAGGGAGCTTTTGGGCTTTTAATTAGGAAGGCCAGCTGGCCTCTTGCCTTGGTCTCCTGCCCCACCCCCAGGCTGACTGACAGGCTGACTTCTTGAAGATGGAAGCGAGGGGGAGAAGGTGAGGAGGAAGGAACCGCTAGCCCCTAGCCTTCCCCCTCGCCGCACCTTCTCCTACCTCTAGGTCTGTAGGAGAAGGCCTCTGATGGTGCCACGTGACTCCTGGGCGTTGGATAAGGAGCAGTCTCTTTCTCCTGTGTTTTGGCAGGTCAGTCTTAGAGTTGAGCCTGGAGGCCAGACAGCCCCATCCTCCACCTTTGATTTGAAGCAATGGAGTGGGAATAATTGGGAGGCCACTGAGAGCCCCGGGGGCTGATCATGCTCAGGTTGTCTCTTACAGGGAGGGCACCTGGACAAGATCGTCTTCCTCCTGGCCTTCCCACAGGAACAGGACAGTGCTGCTTTTCAGGCTGCTCTGAAAAGGTGCGTGATGCCCAGCAGCACTTCACGTTGAGACTGAAGGGGTCCAGCAGGGTTTGGTGGCTCAGTGCCTGGGGGAGGATGCTGCCCTCAGTGAACCCAGGCTGATGTCACAAAGCGGCAGATTGGAGGAAGTTGGGGTGGCAAGGACAAGTAGCTCCCACAGTCAGATTTTGGAGGTTTCTCTCTCAAGCCAGTTTAGAGGAAGCCAGAGTTGGTGGGTACACAGATATTGGGGAGTGTCTCCACATTCTTATGGCTGATCTGAAGACCCTCTGGTGGTGCCCTTCTGAGTTCTCTCTCTCTCTGCCTGATGCTGTCTCCAGATATACCTGCCTCACTGTCTTGAGGACCCAATTATTGGACCCTCCGAGAAATTTTAATTGAGTATCTGTATTAAAAGTGGGAGCCAGAGCCCAGGACCCTGATTAGGGGATGGTGTGTGTGTGTGTGTGTGTGTGTGTGTGTGTGTGTGTGTGTGTGTGTGTGTGTGTACAAGGCAGAGCTTGTGTTTACTTTTCAGTAGGGATTAGAAACCTCTAATTGTGCAGGGAGCAGAGATCCTTGGGAGGTGGGGGAGATAATGAATCCATGGTTTGTTCTCCCACCAGGCTACCCTTCCATGCTTCTGTTCCCTTGCAGGGGAAAGGTTAGGAGGAAAGGACTTAGAGACCTGCCCAGTCATAGCCCACTGTAGCCATACCTAGAGGTAGACATGGTTGTGCTATGTGTGTGTGTGTGTGTGTGTGTGTGTGTGTGTGTGTGTGT